CAGGCTTGTGGATTAAATCATGCAGGACTCATAAATTATAGCATCTACAAAACACTATTATTATCCCCCCTGGTTTTCAGTTTTTTTCCCTTTCACTTTCCATACAGTGCTGAGAGCTCCTTTTCCAACCCCTAAAACTGTTCTAGGAGACTGAAACAGCTGCAAACTCTCAAGCGGTGACCAGGCGACAATTTCAGAGAACTCATCATGTAGAGTCAAGAAAAAAAAGAAAAAAAAAAAAAGGACACTCTCTTTAAATTCTATGGCTTCAAATATTAGAACATAATAACAATCATCATTTCCTTAGCAGGTCTTAAAATTAGGTAAATGCAACCTCAGATGAACAATACATCACACATAACATTGTCATAATTTATTCAACAAAAATAAAGCCAAAAGGGAGGGGCCAAGTGTTATAAACTAAGTACACATAGAAACATAAATAAACAAAATATACAAACTGAAGGAGGAAGAAAAAATAAGAATATCTATAAATATTGAATTTCACTCTCAATAAAGTGGGCTGCTTCACAACAAGTTTGAGCAACTAGAGGAATGAAATATCAAAGATATAAAGTAGTGTGAGCACTCCAATCACATAGATATCATAATAAAACCAACTGCTCCAGCAATGAAAGGGTTAATTAGATGTATGAAGTAAACCTGATACCTTCAATCTAATGAAAAATATTTGTAAATCAAGCCCCTGCTAAAAGGTGGCACAATACATATAACAACACAATCCGTTGAACCGAATAAGGCAACTCATAAGATGCCTTTTATTAAAAGGAAAACATGAAACAATGTATAACACTTTGTAGAGCTTTATAAAAAGTAGCTAAAATGAACCTGCACGCTACAATATCATAAAGTAGCCTCCTAAGCAGAGACATAAATAGCCAAAAAATGAATAACAGTAATGCATTGAATGATATAAACAATAATTCACTATTAAAAAGAGATCCCAAAAAGGAGGGGGTCAGTAAATGAGTGTAACTCCAGTGAGGGGCCCCTCACCTGGAGTTTAATACACGTATAAAAACTGTCAGGCATCCAAGATATAGATGGTGTAGTATAAAAGAAAATAAATGTTTCTTTAGCTTAATGCAGAGTTGAATTGGGCAAAAGGAACACGGAGCTCTTAAACCCGCCGGGCCAATGATCGGGCTAAGGGTGCTGAATATGGACTCCCAAGTCGAGAAAACTATGGGAGTAGCCGGTCACAACTTACCCTGTCCCCCACACCGTACACCAGGCTCGGGGAGCACACCAGTGGACCCAGCAAAAATAGCTTTTATCAACTGTGGTGACAGCAGGGAACAATAAACCTGGTTTGAAGAATCGTGCTGGAGTAGGAGTGCAGTAAGGCAATGAAGCGATGAACTCAAGGTCTACGCATTTCGTCTGTCTCATAGACTTTGTCAAGTCTGATGTTCATCGGATGAAAGTTCAACTTATATGCCAATTACTTGAGAAATGTTAATCATAGTCACTTTATGCATAAAACAAAAAATATAAAACCGTCTCTTAAAGAAATAAAGCATACATAGAAACCGAGAATTATCAAAGCTCCTCAATCTCAGGTTAATCACAAGATATATATTAATAAAAGTAGTCACAGTAACTTAAAAACTGAAAAAATAAAATAAAAATAAAGATGAGCTTTTATGGAGGCAGAAAGTTACAAGTGCAGGGACCAGAAATCCATATCAAGGCTAGACAGTGAGCAGATAGGTTACAGATATACCTGACTACGTTAGCAGTCCTTTGTCTTTGGCTAGTTGATTCTTAAGACATTGGAATGTGTTGTAGGAAATCATATAGCCAGCAACAATACTATGTTTAGAGGCTAGGCTGCATCTTAGTATTGAGTTGTCTTCTTTCTCTTTTTAA